CCCCACCCTCTATTTGGCAAGACCAGTCGCACCAATAGTGATTTTCAAATATTGAACATTAAGATTATGACATGATGACTTTTACCTGAAGTAAGTTAGTCCAAACTCCCTAAATTCTTGGTAAAAAATAATCAAACACAACAGTTACATTGATTTCAACTATTTAAGTTCATGGTAATTGCTCTATTCATGATGACCAACATTTCCATGGCCATCCAATCTTTGATCCAACGAAATAGATGCAACAAAACCAAAGCTAGAAAGAGAGATTGAATAATCATAAGTTCTATTTTGCCTCATCACTATTCTGCAGGGCCACTTAATGCCAACACCAACATTCAAAGACATAACATTAGGAGTAACACAACATAACTTCTACAAATAACCAAAAGAGGCATGTAATTTCTCATTTTGTGCCCCTTACTAGCCGTTCATTGGTACAATTACTAAATGTAAGTTTAGATATCCTGAAATACAAAAAAGTGGAGAGTTTGAACTAAAACGCCAAACTAAAAGCAGAGCAATGAAAAAAAAAACCAAAAAAGATTATTTTGCAGCAAGTTAATGCAACTCATGCCCTCTAAATCCACCAGGTTGTTTCTTTATTACCAATAGAAAGAACAAAATTTTCTGATTAAACTTCGCTTCAATTCTACAGAAACACTACTCACTAAGGAGCTGAATGCAATAACAGTACACGAGAATCTCTCACATGTAACAATGGGTATAAAAATACATAAGGAAGCAGAGAAGCACAGCAAAAACTCTACAAACACACAAGTATTTCATCATACAGGAAAGCCACTTCTAATAAGTTCTTCAGTAACTTTCAATTCATTGTGATAGAGCTGGCAGGCTACCTCAAGAACATTGTCACAGACAGTGGCAGCAATAGACTTAGCAACATGGAGGCTCTCCCCGGCAATGATCGTAAGATTCGTGATAATAGGCTTCGAATTAAACGTCAGCTCCGCGAGTGCCGTCCTGTACTGCGCCACTAGCTCCTGCTGCTGCTGATAAGGCGCTCCCCCTCTCCCCACTTCCTCCCTCTCCTCCCTCTCGCTCGCCCTAAATCTCGGGTTTCCTCCGCTGCCGCCGGCTGCAGGCCTGGACTGCGCATAAGTACGGCTGCGATCGGATGTAACGCCGGCGGAAGGTCCCCGATCCCGCTCGCTCTCCTCTGTCAGTCTAGGTTTCTTCGCGCCCGGCTCCCGCGACCGGTCCAACACAGATCTGCGAGAGGCCTCCATCTCCATAAACTGGAGATCGGCTTAAACTAATTATAAATCGAACAAGAAGTAGCAATAGTTGAAGAAGCATAGACGTTTGACATCCAGCGATGAATGCGACAAAAGCCGGCAGCGACGAAATAAACCCTAATCGCGAGCTGCGAGGATATTCACAGAGAGTAAGAGAGGGGTTATGGAGGAATTTGAGAAGAGTAAGAGACAGTGATGGCTTTCAGGAGTAGCTAAAGGAGGAGGAGGGAAGCAATGGCGGCTTCTTCCCAAACGTGTGAAGGCGAAGAAAGAGATTGTACTGAAGGGGCTATGGGAATGCTGCGTCGTACTAAGTGAAATTGAGAGAAAAAAAAAATTTCTTTTAAATAAGACTTTATCCTTGAGGAATTTATATCACCATAGAAGAAAATTTTGACTTCTATATAAAAGATACATTGCATTATAATAAAAGCAAGAAATATATGTTTATTATTTATTTTAAGAGAAATATATGATGATGTTTGGTCAATAATTTTTTATAAAACATGGATTTTGATGCATTTTTAATAAAGAATCTTTAAATTTCAATTCAAGATCATTCAGACCTTGATTTTGGCAAGTTTATAGTCAAACTTATCATCTTGACGATAAAATTAGTTCAATTTGGATTCAATCAAGCACCAATCAAGTCATTGAAGCACAGGAACCACCAAGAGTCATTGGTCTCAATTCAATGAAGTAAAGTTTCTCTAATATCTTTAGAAGTGAAAAACTTTATTAGCTTGTTTTTTAGTTAATATCTTTAAGATATTTTCTCCTTATATAAAAATGGTTATTAAAATTTTTTATATGTTTTTGTACATAGAAATAATTGGATATGTTTAATAATTTGAAATTGTGATTTTAGCTATTTTTTATTTTTTAGGCCTATTTAAATAAATGAAGTGATTAATTAAACTTAGGGGTGTTGCTTAGATTTTTAAATACGTTCTTAAACCTTTTTATTTTAATTTATTTTGTCATTTCCAATATATTTTGTTGTTTTTAAATGCAAGATAATTTTGTATAAATTTATCAAAATTTTAGTTTTTTTAAAAGAGGTTCATATTGTATTCCCTCTAGAAGTCTTTTAACACATCTCTATCATGAGCACATGACTATCCCTCATAGATGGAGTTGCAATAAAAAAAATCATCTTCTAATTTTTCATTCATGGGCTTCATTTTTTTCTTTACAAACTCTAGCTCCTCATAGAAGAGGTTAAATAATATTCTTGGAAGCGCAAAGTTTTCTCTTGCAAGCTCTAATAGATATCTACCAAGAAAGCTATCAATCATAGATAAAAGTGTAAGAAAATTTTTCATCTTTAAAATTATTCTTTGCATACCCCACTTCTTTCTTACAGGCTCTGAAAATTTTTTATTTTATTTTTTGTCAAAAAAATGTAGACAATATTCTATAGGAACAGTACATAGTTCTCCCATTGCAAGGTCCAAAGCATCTCTATTAAGAGTAACAAACTATCCTACACAAGTGGAATCAATGTTATGCAAAACTTGCAATCCATAAGACAAAGCTCCAATCTTCTTACTAGAAGGAGATTGAATATCTCCATTTGAACATATTAGGATCTTAAGTGGGAAAAACTTCACCTCATGTTGAAGCTCTATTTTTCTTTTGATGGTGACAAAGTTAGGTGCAATCCAAATAAGAGATGATAGTTTATGTAGCAGAATATACGTAGTGTGTTGAGCAGAGATGATATTGAAGAAAGCTTGCAAAAAATATAAATTTTTTTTTGAGATGTATTTTTTTTCATTTTTTTTCTTATTAACTTGCTTGTTTCGATACTTTTCTTATTAACTTGCTTGTTTCAATACTTTTTATTACAAGTCTAATTTGTTTTTTATTTTATTTTTTTTGGTTGAATGGTTGTGTGCACTTCTATATGTTTCCCATACATTATCTTTATAAAATTTTATCATTTTACTAATTATTGTTTTCATAAATTTACTATAATTTTTATACTTGTCAAAATGAGTAAGATTTTTTTTTGTAGAAACTCTCATTAATTTATAAATTTTTAAAAATTTTGACATTTGTTCAAAATATATAAGGAGAAAAAAAAAACCTCTTTGAGTAGTTATTACTCTAGTAATGCATGCACTACATCATCAATGTAGAAAAAAAATTGTTGAGGCATTAGATGAATTAGTATTTCAACTTACTTGTCATTGGAAACACAATTTAATGAACTATTTTCTTTCATAATATGTATACACTTATCTTTAACATTTTATTCAATATTTCATATATACAATATTTTCAGTATTTATTTTGATGTCACTAGAATAATTTGAGATATTCATATATGAGACAAAATATGCAGCCTTCCAACAAACTTAAGAGGGAAGAGACCGCTTGTTAGAAGCTGATACATGAACTATGAGATTTGATGGTTGTAAAAGACTTCAAAAAATGTATCTTGATGATGGTAAAAAGTATGTGTTGACATAATATTAATCTAATAATTTTGTATGCTACTTTAAAATAAGTTGATATGCAAGTTTGAATGATATCTACACTCAAGTTATTTGAAATAATAATTATTAATGTACTATCAATTTTTTTTTTTCAAAAGAGTAATAATTAATAATAAACTTTCAATTTTCTTATAAGAGAGAGATAGATTAACAAGAACATACCCCTCATAGAGAAGATTAAACAATTTACATGTCTTTTAGATGTAAATTTTATTATATTGTAGATGAATCATTTAATCAGCAACCAAAAGATATTTTTCCTAATAAAAGCATGGTTGCCTTGATTATTTAATTGACAAGATTTTTTATCAAATATTACGCACGTTTTAAAGATGTATAGATCAACGTGTATTTCCTTGTAGGTAATTTTTAAAATTTTTTTTGGAAAGTGAATAAACTTGTATGTTGAATCCTTTTAGGAGATAGGTTCATGTATTGTTTATGGGCTCATACAACCGGAAGAGACTTTACTTTAGGAGGAGTATTAAAGAGAAGTGGATAGGATGCAAGTCCTCTCTTTCAACGAACCTCGATACTTAATCTTTAGTAAGAGATTGAACAAGGGAGGAGAACAAAAGATATATATGGATGGAGAAGTATCTGAATCTCCCTTCAAGTGGGAGATGCATGCATTTATATTTCTATCCCCTTGTCTCTTCTCCTTGCCCTCGCCCCTGAGAGGGGAGAAAAAGGGAAACAAAATGAAAATTGTTTGATACAAGACCTATTTATGATGTCTTTGCAAAAAAATGAAGACATGGTTGTCAGGCGGCTCTTAAAAAAGAAGCAGACGTATGTTTGTCTGTAAGTGATTTCTCTTATGTGGCAGGTTGTATCCAAAGAGTAATCATGGAGGGCTCGACAAACTACTTCAACAAGCAAGTTTGGCAGATCACTTCAAAAAGTGGGCTTAGCAAATACTTTGGTGAGCAAGCTTGATAGACGAATTTGGCAAGCAAGCTTGGCATATGGTGGTGATAGTCTTTTTTTTAGAAAAGAGAATTTAGCCTTATTGGCCCATTTGATGTGATAATGTATGCTTAGCCCATGAGGCCTTCTTATGAGTATAAATTTAGTTTTCTGATTCTCTTGACTCTTCGAACATAAAATGTGAGAAGAAGAAGAGAATGAAGAAATTAAAGTTTTGCAACATCTAAACTACTTTACGTTCTTTAGGCTTATAATTTGGCTATCAGGTGACAAAATCTGAAATCAATTATATTCAAGGTTCAATTTTCTCTGCTTGGGGGAAATTCGACTGTGCATGTAGGGAGATTAAAAGCTTACACTCATCATTGAGTTAGGGTCCGTTTGGCGCAGCTCCAGATTCTCAGCTTTTCAGCTGCAGCTGCGCTGCCCCAGGAAGCAGCTGTGGGGAAGCAGCTGCGGGGAAGCTGACTGTCTATTTGGTGCAGCTGCGTGAAAAATGCTGTGAGCCAGCTGTTTCATGTAAAAATGACCAAACAGCCCCTTGTTGTTAAAACTGTTTTAAATTTTTGATTTATTTGTATAAATATGGGTTTAATATACATAAAATTAATAAAAATATTATTTCTTAATGAAATATATTATTTTTAATATTCATTTTTATAGAAATTTTTTAAAAAAAATTTGTAATTTTGAAAACATATAGGTTTAAAATTTATCTTTATCTATCTTTATCTATATACAAATATTAATTCATCTATACATATAAAAATTTAGAAACATATATTTTAGAAGCATAAAATTAATTCTCCATTTTGAATTCTTCAAAAGTTGATATAACTTAGAGCATTTACATAAATACCACATAATTCTTGTCTCAACATGTTAGACATCTAAGCTTACATATTTTCTTGGGTAACACTCAATTGTTTAACATCATATTGTGCATGACAATCTAAACAGCTTCCAGCTAAATGCAAATAATATTGGGCATTGTAATCCGTAAAATGATCTTTCATACCCATCTATAAAAAGCTTTAATCCTTAACAAAGTTATTTATTACATCACCAGGGCCAATAAAGTAACTTCTACTACCAAACACTCGTAAGTTACAATTATTTTGTCTTTCTAACAAATTACAAATCAATCACATATTAACCAACGCATCAACAATTTGTTCTCGAATGGCCGTCATTTCAGCCGCAGCCCGCCATTTCAGTTGCACCTATCCCCTTCCTTAGACAAATGGTTGATTGTTCGTTGTCATCTCGTAACATTGAACTACCGATTTGGTTTTCAGATGGGTCTTCAACTAATTCCCGTTGATTTGCTTCAGCATTGAGGAAATCAACGTCATATCGAGACGGGTGTCGCCTAATATAATTGTGTATTGTCATCGTTGCTATCACAATCTGAACCTGCTTTGGAAACGGGTAAGGAGGCAGATCACGTAAGATCACCCATTTCTTCTTCCAGACACCAAATGTCCTCTCGATGACGCCTGACAAAGAGGAATGTTTTTTGTTGAACACCTTCTTTCTGCTTCGTGTAACATTACTTGCTCGTTCAAAATCAGATATATGATATTTGATATCAGGATAAGGTTTGAGATACCCTCGCTGTAACGGATAACCGGCATCCACCAAATAATACTTTCCTGTAAAGTGTTGAACCTTCAGTTTCACATTTAAAAAAAATACAATAAAAATTTCGTGACGCAACATACCTTGAAAATTCTGCTGTCATGCACACTACCTTCTCAACCAAGCATGATAAATGTGAAACACATATTAAAGTTGCAAACTGCCATGACATTTTTGCGTTGCGGTTCCACTACGTCCGGTAAATGCAATCAACGTGTGTTCCATCTATCGCACCGATGCAA